AACAAGTCGAGCATTTTCCATATCGAAGCAGCCTTTTATTAAAAAAAAAAGTACATCAGAAAATGATATCGAACACAGAACTGGAACTTCACACGGAGCATTTGGAAAGCTAATCAAGTGCTTCTTCAACTTCAAAGATTTGAACTTAACCACAAATATTATGCCCTATAATTCTGTTGTCATTTCAGTTTTGCTATATGGCTGCTAAGTCTGGTCTCGTTGCAAAATACGAAAATTAGAACGCTTCCACCAGCAAAAATGGGAATAATATGTGACCAACACCAAAGTCCTGGAAAAAGACAATAGTTCAAGCATCGTATTGCTAATCATGAAACACCGATGTTCAGGACATGTAGCAAGAATTGAATAGTCATGGCTTCCATGTGAAGTCTTATTTAGCGATCTCACTTCAGGGGAAAAGCCACAGGGTTGCTCTCTATGAAGATACAAAGCATAACTCAAAACAACACTGAAAGCCATTAAATCGTTTTAAGCTATTAAAATCGTTTTAAACACAAGCCCCAGTCCGTAAAAACTGGCGGTGTTCAATCACCGTCAGAACCAAAATCTTCAAAGCCATTAGAAGAGAAAAGGTAGAAATCAAACGATAAGAAAGAAATGCTCGACAAAAATCAACCTTCGCCTCCACTAACATTACTAGGCATTCAATGCCATTGCCTTTTCCATGCAAGAATTGGTTCAATTAGTTATCAATGTCATCATCATAAGGGAAGCGATCAGCAAAGAAGAAATTAAATTCTTGGATACGATATAAAGCCGACGATTATCTCTTCTTTTGTTTCCCTCTTCTTTATTATGTCCGCAAATATCAGAACCCCCCCCCCCCCACTGTTTCTTCTATTTTACTCCGTTTTTGTGTTTAGTGCCAATTAAGAACATTTCTTCTATTATGTGCAATATACAATACACTAGTTTAGGGAACCTCGTGGTGGTGTAATGGTTAGAAAGCTTGTCTTGCTAGAACAATTAAGACTGAGTAGTGATTTCGATCCTCAATGGTTGCCCCATACTTTCGGCCTTGTGCCATATCTAAGCTACGCTTGGAAAATCTCTATACAATATACTAGGTTTTCTTATGTCATATTGTAAGAAATCATTTTCTCATTGATCATTCAGATAATGTTTATTATGATTTTGCGTTTGGTTCATTTACTTTTGTACTGTAATAGCTAGCTGAATATTAAAACAAAAATAGATTTTAGTATGGAAAAAGCCTAAACTGCAAATATTCATAAATATGCGCGTGAAAATACACACACACACATACACACACAATAAGATAAATACTTGTAGCCTTCGCGCGTTAATTGTAAAATAATTTACAAAAGAATCCCGTCATATGGTGTTGTTGAAGGTATCCTTTTCGGTAACATTGTGTGTTGCCATAACTTCACGTAAGACGACAAACGTTATCCTCTTCCGGATTTTTCCCTCTCACAGAGCACAAACTTAGAAATATTTTCATTGCAGTCCGGGACGTCTGAAGACTTATCAAAAGTCTGGACTCTAAGAAAGCTACTTGCTCAGATAAAATGCTAGTGATAGTCCTTAATCACTGGGATTTTATCTGAGCAGGTAACTTTCTTAGAATCAAGACATTTGATAAGTCTGGAAACTTTTCGAACAATATTAACCCTAAGTTATCCCCGACCTTAGCAAAAATATTTAACCGCTGCTTGAAGAAGAACTATTTCCGAAGTCTTTGGAAGGTGTCAACTGTATGCCCTGTTTCAAGAATGCACGTGAGTGCTCATCTCCGTATGAATGCCACCCCGACAACTTTCTTAATGACTTTTAACAAGATGATTGTTGATTATTTCAATAGAAACAACTTTTTAAGCGCAAGCAGTACGAATTTCAATCGTCTCGATCCACTGCTAATATCTTAACTGTCATTACTCACAGAATAATTGAGGTGCTATGTAAAAAGTACATCTCAAGGACAATCACATTACAAGATGTGATATATACGGTTGCTTGTACAAACTCTTCATATATGGAATCAATGGAAGAGTCCTTCCTAATGGGTAAGTCTCTTAACGGCTAGTTATCCGAGGTGGACCTCGGATAAACTAGCCGTTAAGAGTAAACAACGCAGGCGAACTACTCGTCTCACTTCTCGTTCCAATTCTCTTTCTACCTTAAATTAATTATACACTAAGAGTATACACTTATCTTTTGTGGGAGTCTATGTTGGTGTTACAACGGTATATGGGTACATCTTCAAAATTCTAGATGACCAGAGCCTAGCAGCTGATCTTTCCTCTGAACTAGTTATAACAGCTCATTGGGAGTGGAAAGTAGCTTTTGCATTCAATGCTACAAAAGCCAAACTAGTGAAATTCCATCATCACCGTGCGGACCGTGCATTATCATCTAAGGGTCCGTGACTTGAGCGCTCATTGAATCTCACCCCAATCCTTATGTGGAACACTTACATACGACCCATCGCTAATGGTGCTGGGAAAATGGTCGGTTCCCTTTATCGCTCCAGTAAATACATGGTTTCTCCTGCTATCCTTTACCTTTACAAGACAAAGACTTAGTGAGATGTTGCCCAGTTTTTACTTTTCAGTCTCGATAGTGACAAAAAGCGTCTACACGGCGTTGTAGATAATTAATTATTTCCCACCCTACAACCCCCTTTCCATTGGCGAATCGCTGCAAGTCTATCGCTACTCACAATTTCCATGAAAAGTGTTCAAACAAATTACATTCCTTAGTTCCACCAGTTCTAACCTTAACGGCTGAGATCCGCCATATCAAGATCATTGTAGCAAGTCACCCTCATTCGCTCTGCATTCCATTGTTGAGATGTAATTTCCACTCATACAGCTTCTTCCATTGTAGAACCGACTCCCAACAAGATACTTCCTCGATCACTACAATCTTAGCCAGTTCCTGTTTTAATGCATTGCATGTATTTCTTCTTTTACAGCATATTTACAATAAGTAAAAAAACGTTCACGTCCTTCACCGATGAAAAGAATGTAGATTAAAGAAGAGGAAAGATTGAATTCTATAGCTTTGGGCAGCAACCAGTATAAGAGAAGAATAGAAAGCGTAGTTGTCTTTATCAAGAGGTTGTGGCAATTCACAAATAATAAAGAAAAGTAATCTTTGAATTGCCTACATCCTTCAGAGACATGAAATTAAATGGAAAAAATGATTGGAAAAAATGATTGAAAGTGAAGGTACTTGTAGATTTGGAAAAAAAAAAGCATGAGTGCATATATATGCAATGTTCATATTAAGCAAATGAGTATTGTTGCGGGTTGTAGCTGAGTGAAAATGTATCAGAAGGTAAATTTATGTAAGGCAAAGTTTATGCGTGCTTATTATGCATTATCCCGCAATACGTAGATCAAATAAAGAATACAGGGACAATTTTCTTGCAAGAAAAACACAGTGGTTAGAGATCCAACAATAAAGAGATTTTTATATATACAATAGATACACATGCAAGGATAACAGAATGTTTCTTGATTGTGGCAATTGAGAAAAGGTTATGAAGAATGTTCATGCAGAAATTTGGTCAATAAAAGTTAATGGTTTTGATTTGTTAGAAAAATTAAAACAATTTGATTTATGCAAAGAAAGATCTCAAATGTGTTCGTTCAAATACTAGTGGGTATTCGTTGTGAAGAGTTGTTTGCGTTTAACTGATAGGCTAAATTGATGAATTGTACAATTACTGTTTGTGTAGTGAAAACGTTCACTTTTTAAGTCAATTGTAAGCTGATTACCACGCGGACAATGGGTGATTGAGTGTTGAGTTTGTTGAGAATTTTGAAGTGATGTTGTGTCAGTGAAATGACAAGCGTGGAGTTTGGTAGCATCTCACGAAACTCGATGACTGACTGACTTGAATTAAGTCATGCGGCCGTTTTTATAGACTTTGGTATTTCAAAATCGGCTCAGGGGAGCTTCGACGGGAAAAAGGATATGTTTCGACTTTGCTACAGTTTAGTGTTTCTTAACCAATAGAAGATTGAATTTACAGAAACGAAGTGGTGATTGGTTAAGGCTTTTTTTTTAGGGAAGAATACATCTTCCCGTAAGGGGTGAAAGGATAATGTGGAAGATTCCACAGTATAAACGTAAATTTCTATGCATAAATATGTAAAGAGCGAACAGTATTAAAGCCTAGTGAAAATTTCTGCTGGCAAAATGAATGGCATAATATATTTGACCAAAATAAATAATATAAGGAAATATAAGTTTTTGTTTGCATCAATTTCAAACGAGACTTGTTCATAACAGTTAATTTTTAATACGGATAGTTCAACATTTGAGAAAATAAATCTTTACACATTAAACATTGATAAGACTTATGAATGGGTATACTGCGAAGAAAAAGTGATTTAAATTTTCTGACAAATACTTTAATATTTTGAAGAACTTTTACTTGAGTATTTGTCACACAAACACGTTCCATACGATTTAATAATGTTAATGACAAATTGAAGTATTAATATTTGAAATGGCAAAACTAATAGGAAAAATTATTTGAACACAAATTGTGCTTGCAATACGCTCATGAAGAGGTGATAAGGTATGCAATACCGGAGATGTGATAGTGGCTGCTTTCATTATTACTTTAAACAGTACCAATATATTTATTTCACGTACATGCAAAGGCATCTACACAGATTTAAATTCCTTTCAATCTAAAAATTCATTTCATATTTCAATTATTATTTCATGTTAACTTATAAAGATTCATTCATTTAAAAATATTTAAAGCAATATTCATATATGTAACTTATGACTTTATTTGTCATTATCGCTGCAGCAACGACTATATTAAGGGGGTCGACCACACCAATTCCATCAGTGTACACGAGACTAACAACTACTGCTATTAGCACAACGAGTAGGTTCATATTTCTACATGTTATATATTCTCCAATACATATTCCACTGAAAAGAGCCGGGATTTTTTTCGAATTAAACTATACATAGAAGGTTCAGTCATATCATTCGCCGAATAATTTTTTTAACCCTTCCAACAAATAAATGAAAGTATTTTCATCACAAGGTACAACAACATCCATGGTAACAACGGCAACACAAGGTACAACACCATCTAAGGTAACAACACCAGTACCAGGTACAACTCCAACAGCTGTAACAACTCCAGCACCAGGTACAACACCTTCAGCGGTTACAACACCAGCACCAGGTACAACACCTTCTGCAGTAACAAGCCCAGCTACCGGTACAACACCTTCTCCAGTAACCACGCCAGCACCGGGTACAACACCATCAGCTGTAACAACATCAGTTCCTGGTACAACACCATCAGCTGTAACAACGGCTTCTCTGGGTACGACACCCTCAGCACTGACAACGCTTGCGCCTGTTACAACACCATCGGTTGCCACAACACAAGCCCTGGGTACAACACCATCAGCAGTAACAACGACAGCTCCTGGTACAACACCATCAGCTGTAACAACACCAGCTCCGGGTACAACACCACCAGCATTAACAACACCAGGTCTGGGTACGACACCATCGCTTGCAACAACACCAGCACCAGGTACAACACCATCAGCTGTAACAACACCAGTTCTGAGTACAACACCATCAGCTGTAACAACGCCAGCTCCTGGTACAACACCATCAGCTGTAACAACTCCAACACCGGGTACCACACCATCGGTTGCCACAACACAAGCCCCGGGTACAACACCATCAGCTGTAACAACGCCAGCTCCGGGTACAACACCATCAGCTGTAACAACACCAGCTCTGGGTACAACACCATCAGCTGTAACAACACCAGCTCCGGGTACAACACCATCAGCTGTAACAACACCAGCTCCTGGTACAACACCATCAGTTGTAACAACACCAGCTCCTGGTACGACACCATCAATTGCCACAACACCATCCCCGGGTACAACACCATCAGCTGTAACAACACCAGCTCCGGGCACAACACCGTCAGCTCTAACAACACCGGCTCCTGGTACAACACCATCAGCAGTAACAACACCAGCCCCAGGCACAACACCATCAGCTGTAACAACTCCTGCACCGGGTACCACCCCATCAGCTGTAACAACACCAGCTCCTGGTACAACACCATCTGCTGTAACAACGCCAGCTCCTGGTACAACACCATCCGCTGTAACAACACCAGCACCAGGTACAACACCTTCAGCAGTGACAACGCCAGCACCAGGTACAACACCTTCCGCAATGACAACGCCAGCGCCGGGTACAACACCTTCTCCAGTAACCACGCCAGCTCCGGTTACAACACCATCAGCTGTAACAACACCAGGTCTGGGTACAACACCATCAGCTGTAACAACACCAGCTCCTGGTACAACACCATCAGTTGTAACATCGCCAGCACCAGGTACAACACCTACCGCAGTGACCACGCCAGCTCCGGTTACAACTCCATCAGCTGTAACAACTTCAGTTCCGGGTACCACACCATCGGTTGCTACAACACAAGCCCCGGGTACAACAACCTCAGCTGTAACAACGCCAGCCCCAGGCACAACACCATCAGCTGTAACAACTCCTGCACCGGGTACCACCCCATCAGCTGTAACAACACCAGCTCCTGGTACAACACCATCAGTTGTAACAACACCAGCTCCTGGTACAACACCATCAGCTGTAACAACGCCAGCTCCGGGCACAACACCGTCAGCTCTAACAACACCGGCTCCTGGTACAACTCCATCAGCTGTAACAACTCCAGCTCCGGGTACAACACCATCAGCTGTAACAACGCCAGTTCCAGTTACATCACCAACTGTGACAACGACAACACTAGCTACAACACCTTCAATAATATCAACCCCAGCTCCTGGTACGACACCTTCCGCAGTAACCACGCCAGCCCCAGTTACGACACCTCCTTCATTAACAACATCAGCACCAGGTACAGCTGTAACAACGCCAGCTCCTGGTACAACACCTCCAGTAACCACGCCAGCTCCTGTGACAACACCGTCAGCTGTAACAACGCCAGCTTGGGGTACGACTCCATCAGCAGTAACAACACCAGCTCCTGGTACAACCCCTTCTCCAGTAACCACGCCAGCTCCGGTTACAACTCCATCAGCTGTAACAACAACAGCTCCACGTACAACACCATCAGCTGTAACAACTCCGACACCGGGTAAGACACCATCAATTGCCACAACACCATCAGCAGTAACAACGGCAGCTCTGGGTACCACACCATCGGTTGCCACAACACCAGCTCCTGGTACAACACCTTCTGCAGTAACAAGCCCAGCTCCGGGTACAACACCATCAGTAGTAACAACACGAGCTCCGGGCACAACACCATCGGTTGTCACAACACCAGCTCCTGGTACAACACCTTCTGCAGTAACAAGCCCAGCTCCTGGTACAACACCATCAGCTGTAACAACTCCAGCACCGGCTACGACACCATCAATTGCCACAACACCAGCTCCGGGTACAACTCCATCAGCGGTAACAACACTAGCTCCGGGAACAACACCATCAGCATCAACAACGCCATCTCCGGTTACGACTTCAACTGCAGGTACGACACCATCTGTAGTCAGTACAACAGCTCTTACTACAACATATTCTGCAGTAACAACGAGTGCAACAATCACAAAACCCTTATCATCTACTTCAACAATCACGCCATATTTAACTACAATAATTTCACCTGAAACTACGCCAACGTCTTTTAGTTCACAAGTAGTATCTACAACCATATCTTCATCTACAGTTTCACCGATTTCTACAACACCATCATTAACAACGACAGTTATCACGGAAGTAAAACCAGAAACAATGGCTACGGTGTCATTTATAATACCTACGTCAACTCCACCTGGTACAACAACTACTTCATTAACAACCCCAGCACCAGTTACAACACCTTCAGCAGTGACAACACCCGCTCCGGCTACAACACCTTCTCCAGTAACAACGCCAGCTCCTGGTACAACACCTCCAGTAACCACGCCAGCTCCTGGCACAACACCGTCAGCGGTAACGACGCCAGCTTGGGGTACGACTCCATCAGCAGTAACAACACCAGCTCCTGGTACAACACCTTCTCCAGTAACCACGCCAGCTCCTGCTACAACAACTCCTTCATTAACAACCCCAGCACCAGGTACAACACCTTCAGCAGTGACAACGCCAGCACCAGGTACAACACCTTCAACAATGACAACGCCAACTCCGGGTACAACACCTTCCGCAGTGTCAACCCCAGCTCCTGGTACGACACCTTCCGCAGTAACTACGCCAGCACCAGGTACAACACCTCCTTCATTAACAACACCAGCACCGGGTACAACACCTTCAGCGATCACAACACCAGCTCCTGGTACTACACCTTCTGCAGTAACCACGCAAGCTCCTGGTACAACACCTTCAATAATATCAACACCAGCTCCTGGTACGACACCTTCCGTAGTAACCACGCCGGCCCCAGTTACGACACCTACTTCATTTACAACACCAGCACCAGGTACAACGCCTTCAGCAGTGACAACGCCAGCTCCAGGTACTACACCTACTGCAGTGACAACGCCAGTTCCTGGTACATCACCTTCAGCTGTGACAACGACAGCACCAGCTACAACACCTTCAATAATATCAACCCCAGCTCCTGGTACGACACCTTCCGGAATAACCACGCCGACCCCAGTTACGACACCTACTTCATTAACAACACCAGCACCAGGTACAACGCCTTCAGCTGTCACCACGCCAGCACCAGCTACAACACCTTCAGCAGTAACAACGCCAGCTCCTGGTACAACAACTCCTTCATTAACAACACCAGCACCAGGTACAACACCTTCAGCAATGACAACGCCAGCTCCGGGTACAACACCTTCCGCAGTGACAACGCCCGCTCCGGGTACAACACCTTCTCCAGTAACAACGCCAGCTCCGGGTACAACACCATCAGCTGTAACAACGCCAGCTCCTGGTACAACACCTCCAGTAACCACGCCAGCTCCTGGCACAACACCGTCAGCTGTAACGACGCCAGCTTGGGGTACGACTACATCAGCAGTAACAACACCAGCTCCTGGTACAACACCTTCTCCAGTAACCACGCCAGCTCCTGTTACAACAACTCCTTCATTAACAACCTCAGCACCGGGTACAACACCTTCAGCAGTGACAACGCCAGCTCCAGGTACTACACCTTCTGCAGTGACAACGCCAGTTCCTGGTACATCACCTTCAGCTGTGACAACGACAGCACCAGCTACAACACCTTCAATAATATCAACCCCAGCTCCTGGTACGACACCTTCCGGAGTAACCACGCCGGCCCCAGTTACGACACCTACTTCATTAACAACACCAGCACCAGGTACAACGCCTTCAGCTGTCACAACACCAGCACCAGCTACAACACCTTCAGCAGTAACAACGCCAGCCCCTGGTACAACAACTCCTTCATTAACAACACCAGCACCAGGTACAACACCTTCAGCAATGACAACGCCAGCTCCGGGTACAACACCTTCCGCAGTGACAACGCCCGCTCCGGGTACAACACCTTCTCCAGTAACAACGCCAGCTCCGGGTACAACACCATCAGCTGTAACAACGCCAGCTCCTGGTACAACACCTCCAGTAACCACGCCAGCTCCTGGCACAACACCGTCAGCTGTAACGACGCCAGCTTGGGGTACGACGACATCAGCAGTAACAACACCAGCTCCTGGTACAACACCTTCTCCAGTAACCACGCCAGCTCCTGTTACAACAACTCCTTCATTAACAACCTCAGCACCGGGTACAACACCTTCAGCGGTGACAACGCCAGCTCCAGGTACTACACCTTCTGCAGTGACAACGCCAGTTCCTGGTACATCACCTTCAGCTGTGACAACGACAGCACCAGCTACAACACCTTCAATAATATCAACTCCAGCTCCTGGTACGACACCTTCCGGAGTAACCACGCCGGCCCCAGTTACGACACCTACTTCATTAACAACACCAGCACCAGGTACAACGCCTTCAGCTGTCACCACGCCAGCACCAGCTACAACACCTTCAGCAGTAACAACGCCAGCTCCTGGTACAACAACTCCTTCATTAACAACACCAGCACCAGGTACAACACCTTCAGCAATGACAACGCCAGCTCCGGGTACAACACCTTCCGCAGTGACAACGCCCGCTCCGGGTACAACACCTTCTCCAGTAACAACGCCAGCTCCGGGTACAACACCATCAGCTGTAACAACGCCAGCTCCTGGTACAACACCTCCAGTAACCACGCCAGCTCCTGGCACAACACCGTCAGCTGTAACGACGCCAGCTTGGGGTACGACTACATCAGCAGTAACAACACCAGCTCCTGGTACAACACCTTCTCCAGTAACCACGCCAGCTCCTGTTACAACAACTCCTTCATTAACAACCTCAGCACCGGGTACAACACCTTCAGCGGTGACAACGCCAGCTCCAGGTACTACACCTTCTGCAGTGACAACGCCAGTTCCTGGTACATCACCTTCAGCTGTGACAACGACAGCACCAGCTACAACACCTTCAATAATATCAACTCCAGCTCCTGGTACGACACCTTCCGGAGTAACCACGCCGGCCCCAGTTACGACACCTACTTCATTAACAACACCAGCACCAGGTACAACGCCTTCAGCTGTCACCACGCCAGCACCAGCTACAACACCTTCAGCAGTAACAACGCCAGCTCCTGGTACAACAACTCCTTCATTAACAACACCAGCACCAGGTACAACACCTTCAGCAGTGACAACGCCAGCTCCGGGTACAACACCTTCCGCAGTGACAACGCCCGCTCCGGGTACAACACCTTCTCCAGTAACAACGCCAGCTCCGGGTACAACACCATCAGCTGTAACAACGCCAGCTCCTGGTACAACACCTCCAGTAACCACGCCAGCTCCTGGCACAACACCGTCAGCTGTAACGACGCCAGCTTGGGGTACGACTACATCAGCAGTAACAACACCAGCTCCTGGTACAACACCTTCTCCAGTAACCACGCCAGCTCCTGTTACAACAACTCCTTCATTAACAACCTCAGCACCGGGTACAACACCTTCAGCAGTGACAACGCCAGCTCCAGGTACTACACCTTCTGCAGTGACAACGCCAGTTCCTGGTACATCACCTTCAGCTGTGACAACGACAGCACCAGCTACAACACCTTCAATAATATCAACTCCAGCTCCTGGTACGACACCTTCCGGAGTAACCACGCCGGCCCCAGTTACGACACCTACTTCATTAACAACACCAGCACCAGGTACAACGCCTTCAGCTGTCACCACGCCAGCACCAGCTACAACACCTTCAGCAGTAACAACGCCAGCTCCTGGTACAACAACTCCTTCATTAACAACACCAGCACCAGGTACAACACCTTCAGCAGTGACAACGCCAGCTCCGGGTACAACACCTTCCGCAGTGACAACGCCCGCTCCGGGTACAACACCTTCTCCAGTAACAACGCCAGCTCCGGGTACAACACCATCAGCTGTAACAACGCCAGCTCCTGGTACAACACCTCCAGTAACCACGCCAGCTCCTGGCACAACACCGTCAGCTGTAACGACGCCAGCTTGGGGTACGACTACATCAGCAGTAACAACACCAGCTCCTGGTACAACACCTTCTCCAGTAACCACGCCAGCTCCTGCTACAACAACTCCTTCATTAACAACACCAGCACCAGGTACAACACCTTCAGCAGTGACAACGCCAGCTCCAGGTACTACACCTTCTGCAGTGACAACGCCAGTTCCTGGTACATCACCTTCAGCTGTGACAACGACAGCACCAGCTACAACACCTTCAATAATATCAACACCAGCTCCTGGTACGACACCTTCCGTAGTAACCGCCGGCCCCAAAGGAACACCTACTTCATTAACAACACCAGCACCAGGTACATCGCCTTCAGCTATCACAACACCAGCACCAGGTGCAACGCCTTCAGCTGTCACAACGCCAGCACCAGGTACAACACCTTCAGCAGTAACAACGCCAGCTCCTGGTACAACACCTTCAGCAGTGACAACGCCAGCTCCGGGTACAACACCTTCCGCAGTGACCACGCCCGCTCCGGGTACAACACCTTCTCCAGTAACAACGCCAGCTCCGGGTACAACACCATCAGCTGTAACAAGCCCAGCTCCTGGTACAACACCTTCACCAGTAACCACGCCAGCTCCTGGCACAACACCGGCAGCTGTAACGACGCCAGCTTGGGGTACGACTCCATCAGCAGTAACAACACCAGCTCCTGGTACAACAACTCCTTCATTAACAACCTCAGCACCGGGTACAACACCTTCAGCAGTGACAACGCCAGCTCCAGGTACTACACCTTCTGCAGTGACAACGCCAGTTCCTGGTACATCACCTTCAGCTGTGACGACAGCAGCACCTGCAAACACCTTCAATAATATCAACTCCAGCTCCTGGTACGACACCTTCCGGAGTAACCACGCCGGCCCCAGTTACGACACCTACTTCATTAACAACACCAGCACCAGGTACAACGTCTTCAGCTGTCACCACGCCAGCACCAGCTACAACACCTTCAGCAGTAACAACGCCAGCTCCTGGTACAACAACTCCTTCATTAACAACACCAGCACCAGGTACAACACCTTCAGCAGTGACAACGCCAACTCTGGGTACAACACCTTCCGCAGAGTCAACCCCAGCTCCTGGTACA